TTTTTGTTGATTTTGAAATATTATCTAGGGTGTTTTTCTTGCTGTTCATTTTATCTTTTATTTTATTACCGGACTTTCAATTGTTTCTCTTGTAAGAAACTATTTTAATTTTTTGTTTTTTGAGTTTAATAAATAATCATCTCATATTTATTTCAAGATTCTTTTTGTAATATCATCTATTATTGCATGGTTTGTCTGGTCATTTATGCGTCAAATTGGTACATCAACATCAGGTGGTAGTATAACTGATTTAAATCTCTCAGGAAGTATTTCTGAGTAAATTTTTTTCCTTGATTCCATCTATTATTTATATAACATAAATATAATCTTATTTAGATACGCTAAAGATATTATTTTAGTTATTGTTATTACACAAACAACTAGTTTAATACATCGATATTTTTGGTGGCTTTTATTAGCTGTATGAATTTATAAGAAATTATTGTATATATATATATATATATATATTTTTGTTTTTTTTAGATTCCATTTTATGCTCTTTACAAAGGAATTACGTTGTATTTCTTTTCACCTTATGCACAATTACGTAATGCTACAACTCAAGAGCAAGATGATCAAAATGACGAGAAAAAAGGTGGAAAACGAAAAATTGTTCGTGTTGCTCGACATTAAAAGAATATATTTTTTGTTTTCGTTATTTAATTAAATTTTAATAAACAAGCATATATGAACAAATATTCCATTAATTGATGTTGTTCTAGATTTAAAACAAAATAGTATGACTCTTAAAAATCTCATTTATCAACATATTCTAATAATTTTTATTTTATTTAAACATTGGTTTCGTACTTTAATTAATCTCATTACTGGTGATTCTCGACTGAAAGATTTAAATTCGGAAATTATTCTTATTACGGGTGCTGCAAGTGGGATTGGAAAAGGTATTACTCAACGATTAGCTCATCTCGGTTGTACACTTATTTTATGGGATATTGATAAAGAAAATAATGATCGTATTGCTCAAGAATTAAATAACACAACAAATTCAAAACGTATTCATTCAATGAAATGTAATTTAACACAAAAGGAAAATATATATGAATGTGCAAAAAAAGTAATTATTGAAAAAAAACACATCGTATAATTCGGATACTGATAAAACTCTGTAACACAGTATTTCTAGAAAATAGATGTGAATATTATTCAGATACTACCGATAGTTCTCTTTTGAATAGTAGACTTCTCTTCTTCATTTTTAAGTTCGAATCCTTTCCATGTGTCGATCACCGAGTTGAGAAGTCTTGATTTAAGAATTATAAGCTTCTTTCTAAAATTATGATTTTTATTGGTGTATCTATGATTGAAATATTCTAATCAGATTTTCTCTTCTGAGAAGGTTATTGAAAATTCCGAGATAGGCGTCATCTCCTACACTCTAAAAAAAAGGTATCCTCGGAAACCTTTTTCGGCCGGTTTCCGGGAATATCTTTTTTTTGTTCGGGTGTACACTGGATAAAATACGGATCCTAATGTAATATCAATATCTCGATCTTCATGTTATGTATATTTCTGTAGATCACAAAATTGTATGATTCTCGTATTAATTCTTTCATTCTTATTAACCTTTAATTCAACAGATCTTTAATAAATATAGTAGTCAACGGAATTCAAGAAGAGGTCGGTACTCTATTGACAAACTGTTGAGATTTACGGTTCATCATTTTCTATCACTGATTAGTCGAGGAAGATGACGATGTATTATCTGTAGTACAATAATCTCGTATTGATGAAGAATATTTATTATAGTCTATATCTATATAGGTTCAAGAAACAATTGGTCAAGTGACCATGATTATAAATAATGCTGGTGTTGTTTCAGGTAAACATTTTCTCGATTGTAGTGATACATCAATTCAACGTACATTTGATGTTAATATTATGGCTCATTTTTGGGTAAAATTCAATTCTTTATTTTTCTTTTTGTTAATTTATTTATTGTGGATTTTTTTTTTGTATAAAGATTTTAAAAGCATTTTTACCATCAATGATAGAAAATAATCATGGTCATATTGTAACAATTGCAAGTGGTGCTGGTTTAGTTGGTGCACCACGTATGGTTGATTATTGTTCATCAAAATTTGCTGCTGTTGGTTTACATGAAGCATTAACGTAAGAATTTATCTCATATGAAATATTTTACTAAATAAATATAATTTTTTTTGTAGACATGAACTATATAGTTTAAAAAAATATGGTATTAAAACAACAGTTGTTTGTCCAAGTTTTATTAATACAGGAATGTTTGAAGGTGTTGGTACAAGGTAAATCTATGAAAAAAAATAAAAATCTTCATTTGAATTTTTTGTTATGTTTTTTATTTCATAGTGATATTGCTCCAATGTTACAACAAGATAATGTATGTGATCTAATAATTGAAGCTATACGAAAAAATCAACATGTGTTACTTATACCAAAATCATTACATATTTCTCTTATTTTAAGCAGGTTAGAATAAAAATCGGAAGAAAACAAAAAAAAATTATTTGTTTTTTTTTTATATTAGAATGGCACCAACATCTGCTGAACTTGAAATACAAGATAGAATTGGTTTTCATCGTTCAATGGATACATTTATTGGTCGTTATCAAAAATCTTCTTAACTCATATATATATATATTTATTTATTTATTTATTTCTGCATTTGTTTTTAGTTAGATTAACCTTTTGTAATCTCATATAGCAATTTTTCTTTTATTTTTTTAGATGAAAGTTATTTATCATGAAAAACAATGATCGATTGGTTAATTAGTTTATTAATTGGTAGTTCATTTACGTTTATTATGACATTTTCATTATGTTTTTGTTTTAAACGTGATCGTGCTACATATAGTGTATCATCAAATAATATAAATTTAAATCCAATAAAAACAACAACAACAGTTACATTAGCACCACTTCCATTATCATATGATCCATCAATTATTCCGATTGAATCTGATTATGAAAAAATAATTGGTTCATCAGGTGATGGTGAAATACGTATTAATAATGATTATAGAGATTCAATAACATCAATGGAATATGGTGGTTATACAAAATTAACACCAATTCGATCTCAACAACAATCATTCGATGATGATACACAACTTTATGCTACTGTTGATAAAACAAGAACAGTGGGAAAGAATGAAATTCGAACAACATCAAATACTACAGCTGCTATTGCAGCTGCACTTAGACAAGGCTCATCACCAGCATCGACAACTGCGTAAGTATTTCGATAAATTGTTATTTACTTCATTGTTTTTTTTTTTTAAATAACATTTGATAGGAACATTATAGAGATTTTCAGTTTTCATCATTCAAGAGAGAAGATCTTCCGGAGCCATCGAAAGAGGTTAATTGACTGAAATTGAGATTCTCAGAAAAAATTGTATAACTCTCGAAAAGAACAAGCTAGGAATATAGTCCTTGCAATCAACGTTATGTTCAGATATCCTGATTTTTTTTTTCTCATTTACTGTAATGATACGTTGCGAGAATTGATTTTTTTAAAAACAGCTGATCACAATCAGACGTTTTCCAAAAAGGCAGTCAGAATTTTCTTCTGAAATAAGATTGGACAGTTATCATCTGATTATTTCAAAAGATTGAAAATAATGGTTGTACAGATTCCAAATTCTTTTTTGCAGTTTTTAAAAAAGCGATTTTTTTTTTCACCAATGCCAATTTCCATAGAACCTACTCTCTAAAAAGAATCGTTTTAATACCGAATCTTGTTAAGTTTGACAGTGGCTGCGAAACCTAAAATGAGTCTTCATGGGTATATACTTTCAAAACCTTTTTGAAATCCTTAGGACGAAAGAAGTTTTGGTATCAAATATACGAATCCCTTAGGGTATAACGCGAAATTGATAAGGGTTCGAAGGCTCTACCGAACTTAAAAAGGTTCGGTATAACATCTATTTTTTTTAAAGAATGTTGCTCTTTAGTGGAAACATAGGTGAGATGTTGCTTATTTTTGTATAGAATTCAATGCTTTATATAATACTGTTGAGTTGAAGGTATTTCAAGGCACGAACAAAAGACTATGTTAAAATCGTTATTTTGCTTTTAGTTTTGATCTTTTTCACAAAATCTACTGATAGTTGTTCAATCTTATTCCAGAAGGAATATCTCCACATATATTCCGAAATGACAAAAACTTTTGACTCTAACCGATTATCTTTTAGTATTCAAAAAATAATGTCAAGATTTTCGCATCATAGCTTATGTAATTTTTCTTTTTTGTTTATTTATAGTTCTTCTTCTCCACCAGCAGTGTTTTCTCCAAGTTCATATCTAACTGGATATACAATGACGTCTCAAATTCCACCAGAACATCCACCACCACCTCCACCTCCGCCACCATTACCACCACTTCTACCGCAAGTTTACGGTAGTACAACTGCAAATAATAATAATGATTCTAGTCGTCGTCCTCATTATGATGAAGTTATAACACGAGAATCATTACAATATCGTGCACAACGTTTACAAATGGAAGAACAACAACAAATACGTGAAAATTATTATTCATCTGTAAATAGTGAACGTGGTACAACAACTGGAAGTGATCTTTATGCTGAAATAGCGAATGGTAGTGCATCGGGTACAGTACATCAAAATCAACAATCTTATTATTATTCTCGACCATCAATTGGTAGTGGAATAGGTGATGATCTATCGGAAAGGTATGCAACTGTTATTGAAGCTGTTGAACAACAACCAACAACAAATCGTATATATCAAGATGTTGATACAATGAAACTCGAATAAAATTTTGTTTTTGTTTTTTTCTATTTTGTATGTGTAAGTGCAATCAAGTATTTCAAATGTGTTTGTTTTGTTTTTTTTTAATTTTTTTTTTTTCTGTAAATATATTCTTGTTTCTTTTTCTTTTAAATTGTACGAAAACAAGAAGATTATTGATATAATTGTCTATTTATCAGATATGATATTTTATTCATAAGAAACAAAACGAATCTCTAACGATTCCAATGACTTTCAGTAAAATCCTTATTGCTAATCGTGGTGAAATAGCATGTCGAGTTATTCGTACTGCACAACGTCTTGGTCTACAATCAGTTGCTGTTTTTTCTGATGCTGATCGTGATTCATTACATGTTCGAATGGTACGCTAAAAAAAAAAATTATAAATTTATTTATATCTTATTATTTGAAATATTTTAAGGCGGATGAAGCTATTCATATAGGTCCAGCAGCAGCTCTTCAAAGTTATTTACGTAAAGATAGAATAATCGAAGCTGCTAAACAAACAAATGCACAAGCTATACATCCAGGTTATGGTTTTCTATCAGAAAATTATGAATTTTCTACGATGTGTAAAGAAAATAATCTCATATTTATTGGACCACCACCAAATGCTATTCGTATGTTTGTTTGTTTTTTTTAAATAGAAACAAATTATATATTCATTTCAGGTGATATGGGTATTAAAAATTTAAGTAAAATTATAATGCATGATGCTAATGTACCAGTTATTTTTGGTTATCATGGTGATGATCAATCAGATGATACATTAATAAACGAAGCAAAAAAAATTGGTTATCCTATTATGATTAAAGCTGTACGAGGTGGTGGAGGAAAAGTAAGTTTATCATTTAAAAGGGGAGGAGGTCCAAAAGTCGATATTTCGAGATTCATACATATTCTGATACTTGTGTAAGTTTATAGCACCAAAAGTTAATTTTATATAGGTTTCGATGATGTTGAATTGATTGCGCATGTGTAGGGTGTGTGTAGATAAGTGTAATTGGATGAATAGAAGAGTATACTTAGGCCCGAACTCGACCACGTCCGAAATTAACCCGATGAGCACTAGCGCACACACCGACTCTCATGCGCTGATTTGATATTAGTGTCAACTGGGCTTTTGTAATCTTATTTAATTTGTTGTTTTTTAGGGTATGCGTATTGCATTGAATGAAGGCGAATTTTTGGATAAACTCAATGGTGCGAAATCTGAAGCAAGAAAATCTTTTAATGATGATGCAGTTTTACTTGAAAAATTTATTCAACGTCCTCGGTAAAATTAAGTGTATTTGAAATTCAAATAAATGATATTCTATTATTATTATTTTTTTCATTTAGTCATGTTGAAGTACAAGTATTTGGTGATATGCATAAAAATTATGTTTATTTATTTGAACGAGATTGTAGTGTTCAACGACGACATCAAAAAATAATTGAAGAAGCACCAGCGGTAGAAATATTATGTAAAATTTATTAACCAAAAAAAAATATTCTTTTTATAGCCTGGTCTTGATTGGTCAATACGTAAAAAGTTAGGTGAAGCTGCTGTTAAAGCAGCTCGAGCTGTTAATTATGTTGGAGCTGGAACAGTAGAATTTATTATGGATGAAAATCATGATTTTTTTTTTATGGAAATGAATACACGTTTACAAGTTGAACATCCAATAACAGAAATGATTACTGGTACAGATCTTGTTGAATGGCAAATAAAAGTTGCACAAGGTGAAGTTTTACCACTTAAACAAGATTCTATTAAATTAAATGGACATGCATTTGAAGCACGTATTTATGCTGAAGAACCTGAAAATGAATTTATGCCTGGTAGTGGTATTTTAACTTATTTACGAACACCACCAACAGGTGAAGATGGTAAAATTCGTGTTGAAACTGGTGTTGTCGAAGGTGATGAAGTATCTGTACATTATGATCCAATGATTGCTAAATTAGTTGCTTGGTCAACAAATCGAACAAGTGCATTACAAAAACTTCGTCATGCTCTTCAACAATATTACGTAAATATATTCGATTTTTGTAGATTAAAATATGTTTTTTGCTTGTTTTATTATATTCAAAAAAAAAACAATAGATTGGTGGTTTGAAAACAAATATTCCATTTTTAATGTCTCTTTGCGATAATAAACAATTTCAAATGGGAAATGTACACACAGATTTTATTAAAGAAAATAAAGATGCTTTATTTCATATACAACAAATAACTCCAACTATAGCCGTTGCTGCTGCTTCGGCTTTTATTAATGCTCAACAACAAATAAAATATAATACAGGTTCGTAATTTTTTTTTTTTGTAATTCTTGATTTTAATTAAAGATTATCTCTCATATTTCATATAAGATTTTTTGAGAAAGATGTAAGCTAATCTTCTCATCAGCTTACTGTATTCGTAGTTCTCGATGGAAAAGTCTTTATGAAAAGAGAATTGTTTCATGTTCTTATAAATCCTAACATAAATTAGATTTATTTATTCTAGACGGTGCACAATCATTTTTTACAACATCTAATAGTTCTTTTCGTCCAAATTTTTTACAAAAACAATTTTTAACATTAATCTATGATAATAAAAGTAAAATATTTTTCTTATTCAATAATTTCAAAAGATAACTTTTGTTTTTTAAAAGATTATCAATTTCAAATAGAACGTATTAATAGTTCGAAATTAAATATTACTTATGAAAATAAAACATATCCTGTTGAAATTCGTTCATCAAATGATGAACTTATTCTTCTTATTGATGGTCATCAATTTCGATGTCGTATACATATTGATGGTGATACATGTACATTCTATTCGAATGTTAGTCGTTCGTCATTTGATTTTAAATTACAATCACCATCATTTCTTGCTCAACTTGCTACATCAGGTATGGGTGGTGGTGCTATTGGTGGATTAGCTACATCTGGTGATCCAATTGCACCAATGCCAGGTCTTATTGATAAAATACTTGTACAAGAAGGTACACATGTTACACAAGGACAACCATTATTAATAATGACTGCAATGAAAATGGAACATGTTATTAAAGCAAGTAAAAATGGTACTGTTGCAAAAGTCAATGCTGCAGTGGGAAAAGTAGTTAAAAAAGGCGATATTCTATTGACATATGTTGCCGATGAGAAAAAACAATAATTCTTAATAAATTTTTCTTTTTTTGAGAATAAACCTATGTTTCCTTGTTTTGTACTACAAAAACCATTAGCATTTATCTGAATATCATTTTCTTTTTTCTTTTTTTTAGATTACTTTAGTTGTTTTAATCATAATGACACGTCCAAAAGGTCAAAAACGTTTTGCAGAAATGAAACGTATGATTAAATTAACTGATGCAAGACTTAAAGCAAAAGATCGTATGAAACCAAAAAATCATGATAAAAAACAAGAAAAGAAAAATATTGGTGAAATTACTGAAAAACAAGTTGCACCTGTGACATCAGCACTCTTCTTTAGATATAATACACAACTCGGTATGTTTCTTTTTTCTTTGTGGAATTCATATTATTTTTTGTTTTCGAAGAAAAATATAGTTAGTGTAAGTTTTAAGAGAGTGTCCACGAGGAGATTGAGTATACGAGGCACTCGATAGAATTCTTTTTTTGCTCATTCAAACTATCAATGTCTAAAAGCAATAACCACAAAATTTTAGGTTCTAATATCCTTCCTTTGAAAAGTTAGTCAATACCAACTTTTAGCACTATCGTACTTTGTTGGAAAAAACAAAAGAAGATGTATCAGCTTACGTCTCAAGAAACCATTGAAATTTTTCAAGGTATATGTGAAAAGATATAGAATAAACTATATTCATATAATATAATGTCTAGCAATTCAAGTTTTATAAAGCCAACAAGAGTCAAAGTATCCTTTTGATCAGTACAAATCCAATAAAATATCTCCTACTGTGTTTCAGAATCAGAGGTATTCAAGCTGAATTTTATATATGTTGTGTAACTTTCTTTTCTCTATGACATGGTAAAAAAATATTCAAAAAAACTTTTCCACTCGATGCGAACGGAAGTTTACACATCTTCATTTTTCCTGGTTTTTCAATAGAAAACGAACATTTTCAAAGGCTTTTCATTCAGATGATGCAATGCTAGAGCAAAATAGATACGATATTCGGAATCAACATCAAAAACTACATCTAATCATATATATTTCAGCGAAAATTTTTTCCTATCCAAAATTGACCTATGCGGGACCAGGGAGAAAATTTTTTTTCAAAGTACCGCTGTTAGGGAGTATAGGTCAGTTTGAGGTAGGAAAAAATTTTCGCTAAAATATATATAGTTAGATGTAGTTTTTGATGCTGATCCCGAATATCGTATCTATTTTGCTTTAGCATTGCATCATCTCAATGAAAAAATTTTCAAAAATTTTCATTTTCTATTGAAAAATCAGCAAAAATGAGGAGGTATAAAACTCCACTTCGCATCTGACGAAATTTGTTTTTTTGAATATTTTTTTTATCATGTTGTAGAGAAAAAAAGTTACACAGCAGGAGATACATTGTTGGATTTGCACTGATCAAAAGGATACTTTGACTCTTGTTAGCTTTATAAAACTTGAATTGCTAGACGTTATATTATATGCATATAGTTCATTCTATTCAGATTTTAATTCTCTATCTTCTCATATATACCTTGAAAAATTTCAATGGTTCCTTGAGACGCAAGCTGACACATCTTTTTTTGTTTTTTTCCAAAAAAGTACGATAGTGCTAAAAGTTGGTATTGGTTAACTTTTCAAAGGAAAAATATTAAAACCTAAAATTTTGTGGTTATTGCTTTTAGACATTGATGGTTTGAATGAACAAAAAAAGAATTTTATCAAGTGCCTCATGTATAGTAACGATATGTGATGGGCTCATGGAAGCTCTCTGAAGTCAAGATTTTGTGGCTCTCCCTGCATAGACTCCAAAGAAGAGAAAAATCTGAAACAGTTCTTCACGCGAATAAAAATTCGAAACTTTTTTGAGTTTGGTACGAAACCTAAGTGCCCAAATCAAAATTACGAGTTCTTTCCGATTGGAAAATTCGTAGGAACTTGGAAGGAGAAATCCGATGATTAAATCCAGTAGCAGGCTCTGTTCCGATATGATCGGAACGAGAAAAATGTGGGTGCGTTTCTCTAACTACCGAGGACAAAAGACATTGGACTTCTTTCCGAGAGTTCGTTAGCAACGGAAAAAGATGCTGAACGAAATTAACAACAAGACTTCGACTGTTCTCGGGGATCCCAAAGCCTTCGTTGAAATTTGAAATGACTGAAAAAATTATTCTTATATTTATTTAGGTCCTCCATATCATATATTAGTTGATACAAATTTTATTAATTTTTCCATCAAAGTTAAATTAGATATCATTCAATCAATGATGGATTGTCTTTATGCAAAATGTACACCATATATAACAGATTGTGTAATGGGTGAAATTGAAAAATTAGGTACAAAATATCGTGTAGCATTACGTATTGCAAAAGATCCACGTTTTGAACGTTTACCATGTTCACATCAAGGTACATATGCTGATGATTGTATTGTACAACGTGTTACACAACATAAATGTTATATTGTTGCCACATGTGATCGTGAATTAAAACGACGTATAAGAAAAATTCCTGGTGTACCAATTATGTATTTACATGGTCATCGTTATACTATAGAACGTATGCCAGATGCACATGGAGCACCGAGAATATAAAAAATAAGAATAAAATATTTGTTCATAAATGAACATTGTTATTTTTGTTCTACGTTGTTGTTTTTTTTTTCTGTTTAAAATAAATTGATGAGTAGAACAAATAACTATTCATTTATTTTGAGTTATTATGCTTTTGACAAAAAGAAAAAGAAGAAATGAATTGATTGAATACATAATCAAAAGCTCGAACTAAGTTATAAAAATGTTTGAGAGATTTTCCGAACAGCAAACCGTTTATTATACATGAGAAAAATAACAATATACTGCGAACATGAAATAAAATAGAAAAAAAAAATAATGTCTATTTTGTTTTCATTGAAAATCAACCATTGATGATGTATATATTGTAATCAAATATTCTTAATTATGATTAGATTTTGAATAATTTTTTTCTCGTGATCGTTTATTTTGAAACCAAACGCGAATAACTTTTTCATCAAGTAATAATAAATGTGATAATGTTTCCATTTGTGTTGGATCTGGATAATGATTTGTTAAATAAAAACGATCAAGATATTGTTTTTGATTATTTGTAAATGCTGTACGAATTTTCTTTGTTTTATTATTCTTTTTAATAAATGGTGTTGATGATGGTATTGGTTTTAAATTTTCAATATTATCATCATCATCATCATTAGCGTTCTCTTGACTTTCTAATGAATTAGATAATTGTGAATTATATCCAGTATCATCTATAAAAATAAACTATTAGGTTTTTTTTCATTATTCATGAGGGAATCCATCGGACTGATACTTTCTGTTTGAGTTCATAGTGTAGATAAATATCCTGAAAGGGCTCATACCATTAAACATTTCTTCTCGAGTTATGGCTATTTGTGGAGCACTTTTATGAAAGTAATGCTTTTTTTCAAAGATGTTATCTCAGAAGGAAAACATCCGTCTAAGCTGAAACTTTCAGAACAATATAAGAGCTTTATCGGAAAGAATTTTAGGCCAAAATTATTTGCACTATGAGCTCAAACAGAAAGTATCAATTCGATGAGCTCCCTCGTGAATAATGTAAAGAAAGAAACTTTATCTTACCGATTTTTATCAAAGGAATAGAAATCGGAGAAAGAAGTTCATCGATACTTTTAAAATTATGTCGAATTATAGGTGTTATAGGACGAATAGAATTTAATATAGATGAATAAGTAAACCAAAATGGACTAAAAAGAAATTCATATTAGATTTTAAAGACAAAAAAAAAGAAATATTACTTGAATGTTAGTTGAGATAAATTTTCTTCGTAACTAGATGCAATACTTGATAGTCTACTAGTGTGTTCGTCTTCCATGTTTCGAATGAAGTTATTGTATTAGAATAGATACCTATTTGAAATCAATGAATATTTCTTTTCGTCCAATAAATTTTCAATGATAAAAGAATTATATCTATTTTATTGGATAAAATCAATTGATAGATTAATAGAAGACGAAAAGAAAAAAGTAACGACTTCTTCAATATGACAAGCCTATTTGGTATGGTAATTGATTAAATAATAACACTACAGGCGACTAATTGATGGACTCATGTTAGTAGACGACAGCTGAATTTTTTCGTTCTTTCAATATAATTCTGTTGAACATTTTTTTTTTTTCTATTGTAAAGTCATATCAGATCTGTGTAAATTGATACAATGTGAAAAATAAATGTAATGTACAATAAATCAAGCAAGACACGTGAAATGAATCAAGATGATCATTATTTATCCGTTGAAGTATGAAGAGATTTGAGAATTTGATCTTTTTTTCTCAGCAGTAAAAAATCGATTGTTAAGTGTTTGGATAAAAATATGAGATTCAACCTTGAAAATATTTATACAATATAAATTAATCGTAGCCATCATTCATTATTTTATTAATCTATCGGTGAGAAGAATAAAAGTAAAACGATAAATATACCGATTTATATCTGTATGTTGAGTGAGAAGTTGACCATAATAAAATGATCAAGCTAACATTTGTGATACATGATAGTTAGCGGTTTATCAGCTTTTATATTAGCTCAGTGTTTAATATGTAAAGAATGAGTCAATTAGTTTCACTTGATACTTGCTAAGACTTAAATAAGATGAGAAGAGGCTGAAAAGATTTTAGATCAATGACAATAGATGGCACATTGAAATGATTCTGTTGAATTGATTGAATGTATTCATCTTTGTTCTATAATTTAATATTTGTTTGATTATATGAAGCCTTCATAATAGAAGGCCGTGGTTTATGTATCAGAAATGGAATCATTCCATCTCTATCTTCTCTTATGGAAATTCATATCGCTCCTTCAAAGATGACTTTCTTTTCTAACATTGAATTAGAAAACCAATGGTTTTTGAAAACGTGTTGTTTTCTATTCAAAAATGGATTTTTAGGTGCTAAAATTTCGAATATAACCATACGCATAGAAGTACCATTCTCCTGCTTGTTGTTAATTGGCATTTTGTAACCAACTTCCACCACTGTATATAATTCTATTCATTTTTAGAATATAACTTTTATCAAAGAATATCACTACAAGCTAACCAATACTGAAAATAAGATCAATGAAGAATAAAAATCACTATTATGAATAAATTGAGTTATTGTTTTATTCGGACGATTTTTGGTAAAAAGCATCAATAGTTTCTTGATTAAAATGTTGGAAATCTTGTACAAGTGCAATCATGGTTTTTAAGACCACGATTCCGCGCAACAATAAAAATAAACAGGCATTACTGTGCCATTTCTATAGATGAAATATAGAGAACGATGTATATCATTTATTCTAGCATAAAGAATACGACAAAATTCACTACAATAATTATCTTCTGTATAAACATCGCTATTCATTCTCTTCAGATCAGATCGATTTCGACCATGAACAAAATCATTGCCAAATGATTCCCTTTTACAAGTCTTAATCATTTCTTTCTTGAAGGAAAAAAATCTCTATATAATGGGAATAGTAAATGAATAATCATACTTAACTAATGAATTCATCAACAATAAGACTCATGTCTGATAATGCTATACCATACATGTAAAACTCGAATAGTCGTTACGACTATTCCAGTAGAGTAAAAATTTG